CTTATAAGAAAGATGTTTATATGTTTAAAAACTTCCTGTTAAGTTACATGGGATTGTTTCATCTTTTAATTGTTTTCCTTCAATTCCCATCTTCTAGGTCTAGGATAAATTTCCTTTATTTACTTTATTATCTCATGCCGATTGAGTTTGGAGAAGATCACCCATCTAGGCTAACACCAAAGCAAAGCAAAGCAAAGCAAAGCAGCTTCATTTATATACTGCTTCATACTGCTCTATGCAGTGTCTAAGCAGTTTACAACTGTAAGCTCATTGTCCCCAAACAGCTGGGTACTCATTTTAGCAACCTCAGAAGGATGCAGGCCTGAGTCTAGCCTGAGCCCTGGCTAGTACTGAACTTGCAACCTTGTGGTCTATGCGTGAGTGGCTGCAGTACAGGCATTTAACTACTGTGCCACCAGGGCACCATTAACAGGTTGCAATTTTCTCTTGAAAAATGTGTAGCATGGTTTCCTTTACACCTAGATCTTTCCATCTTGGATTAATAACTACTTATTTCTCATGCCAGTGATGGGGAAAGGCATGGTATGAGTCGGCTTTCTATTATTCATCCAGTGTCACATCACTGTTGTTGGGTATTTTGGTATGCTAGGTAACAGAGTCAGGGTGCCACCACTGAATGTCAATTGATGGTATTCTGATAAGTGTCTTCTTTGTATGTTGGTCAGCTCCTCCCCATTGTCAGTCTTACAGGTTTATCTACCCTCCATCCAGAAAGCTTGAGATGTGTGTTTGTTCATCTCTGTGTATAACAGAAATTCAAGAGAAAGAACTCCTTCCTTGTCCATATATAATTCTGACATAGGACCTTATCACACGGGGTCTAAAGCAGTCACAATCCACACTCAACCCCGTCCTATTGCTCTTTATTTGTCCGTGTGTTCACACGACGTTGCACACAACCCCGACACAACCCCGTACCAATGGGGAATCATCCCCGTTCTTTTGTCTTTCGGTTTTACCAGGTATTGCATTCGCACGATCGGAATAATTGCGCAATAATTCCTCTTTCGCCGTACGTCTGATCACCAAATACGTATCCTGGAGCATTTCCCCATCATGACCCATGGTTCCTAGCGTGATTCTGGATGGGATCTTATCACTTGTGTGTGAACAGCAAATACGTATCCAGGATGCGCTTCCATCGCTATTTTGATAATTGCGCAATGACTCCTGTTGCGCCTGATCGCCATTTCCGTATTGTGGGGTCTATTCCGCAATAGTTCTGGATTGATTCTTATTTCGCTTTTCTGCCGCTTTGAGACCCCCGTGTGATAAGGTCCATAGGCTGCTGCTACATTGCAGAATTAATGCAGTTTGACTCCACTTTAGCTATCACAGCTCCATCCTATGAAATCCTGGGGTTTGTAGTTTGTTGTTTCACCAGAGCTCTCAGCCAGATAAGGCTAAATATCTCACAAAACTATAGACCCCAGAATTCCATAACATTGAACCATGTCAGTTGAAGCAGTGTCAAACTGCATTAATTCTGTAGCTTAGATTGTTGCTGTTATTGTTGTTGCTGTTGTTGTGAGCCTTCAAGTCATTTTTTACTTATGGCGACCCTAAGGCAATCCTATCATGGGGTTTTCTTGGTAAGATTTGAAGGTTTGCCACTGCCTTCCCCTGAGGCTGTGAGCATGTGACTTGCCCAGGGTCATCCAATGGATTTCATGGCAGAGCCGGATACAGCCTAACTATTCTTGGAGTTAAGGAACCTCAGAAAGGGCTTTGCTTTGTTCAAGATTCTAAAAGAAATAACATGTTTTCCCAGGCAGTTTAGAACTGTGAAGTTTGTGACATTATAAAATAAATTCAACTTTTTTCCCTCCTGATTACTAGAACAATATTGCTCCACTAGGCTGCTGCATAAAGTCAATGTAAGTATGTGTATAGTTCTGGGTCATGGGTTAAAATTAAATCAAATGAAGAAATTGAGGCTTGATGGGAATGAAAGGGATAATGCCTCAGCTTCCCTAATTATGTAGTTCAACATTTGGATAAATCATTCCAAAGTAAGCATTTAGCTCTCCTCCATCTCTCTCTCTCTCTCTCTCTTTTTCTTTTTTGGATAATAACTATTAATGAGAACAAAATAGGAGATGAGGGCAAAGGGACAGAGTTTTGACAAGATAAATAGTACATCGATGCTGCTGTCAGCTGCAGATATATCTGACTACTTGTCGAATCTGTGCAGGAGAGGGGGTTGAAGAAACCATGAACTAGGTCTGCATCTGCACTGCAGATATAATGCAGTTTGGCACCACTTTAACTGCCATGGCCCAATGCTATGGAATTCTGTGATTTGTAGTTTGCTGTGGCACCAGAGCTCTCTGACAAAGAAGGCTAAATGTCTCACAAAACTAAAAATCCCAGAATTCTATAGCATCAAGCCACAGCAGTTAAAGCAGTGGAAAAACTGCATTATTCCCACAGTGCAGATGGAGCCCAAGAATGTGTTCTTATGAATAATATGGGGGTGGGGGGGAATAGGCTGACACTGCAGCTGTATCAGTATTTTGGTATGAAATGGGGCGTGAGAAAGAGCATCCGGTGTTCAAGTATTCAGTGCTCACATTTGTTCTGGGCTTTATCCACACTGAAGACATAATCCAGATTGACATTGCTTTAACTGTCCTGGTTTAATGCTATGGAATTCTGGGAATTGTAGTTTTGTGAGAATTCTGTCAGAGAGCTCTGGTGCCATAGCAAACTACAGTTCTCAGGATCCCATAGCATTGGGCCATGGCAGTTAAAGTGGTGTCAAACTGCATTATTTTTGTAGTGCAGATGCATCCCTAGTGACCTTATGTCTGAAACAGCAGCCAGCAGTGAGCAATGCTTTCAACCTGGCATCCTGGGCATTAATTATTGTGCCAATAGTGCCACGATTATGACTATGCAGCATTACTCAATACATAGCAGTTATGGATTGATAACTCCAGGTCTTTTTGTACTATTTGGTTTTAATGACAACTTACCAAGATTCACAAATTTCTCATAATTGAGATGAACAGATATATAAATATAGATAGATATAGATATAGCTATAGATATAGATATAGGACTGCAGTGGCTCAGCAGTTAAGATGCTGACTCTGACAACTGCAAGATCAGCAGGTTGGCAGTTCAAGGCCCAAGCATAACTTTTCAGTGGTGAATTAGTCCTCTATTTTTATTATTATTATTGTGAAGTCAAAGACTTTCATGGCCGGCATCCATAGGTTTTTGTGGGTTTTCTGGGCTTGTAGGCCAAGTTCTAAATTTTAGAATCTAAAAGAATGTATTCCTGACATTTCGCCAGCCACAAAAAAACCCACAAAAACTTATGGATGCCAACCGTGAAAGCCTTTGACTTCACAATAATAATAATAAAAATGGAGGACCAATGCACCACTGCATTGCACCACAAAAATCTATTATTGTTTCTGTTGTTGTTGTTGTTATTATTATTATTATTATTAGTATTATTATTATGGTCTTCAGCTCCCAGCCTCAGCCAACTTGGCCAACAGTCAGGAATCATGGAAGCAGAAGTTCAAATCATCTGGACAGTCAAAGGTTGGGAACCACTGCTAGGTTACCCATTCATAACTGTGATAGCAAATTCTAGCCTATTATTTTATTCACTGTAATAATTCCAATGTGATGGACAGCCATGGCGTTCTATATCGTTCCACTTTCATTTCCTACAAGCAACTTCACAAGCTTTGGTATTGTGTATATATCTCCTGCAAAATGAGCTTAATCAGGGATGACAATGGGAGAGAAAGAGCAAATATGAACACCAAGGTGCTTTTTTGGACTGAAGATATATTTCTGTTGCTTGAAAAACACTGCACTAAAAACCCTTCTTACCAATCATACATGGAGCCAGCATCTGTTTCGTTAGCCTTTAAGGCATCCTTTGTTGTTCCTGAAAAATCATTGAGGGTATGATGTATAAACACACACCATCGTGTCCCG